ACACAGGTTCACACACGCTCTTGCTGTTGCTAATATATATATAACTAAATATCATATAAAAGTATGAGACTAGAGAACTGTCCAAAAACAACATTCAGGATTCTTACAGATTTCCCATAGGTCAGGCTTAAAATATGAACAGTTACCTTGGCATAGCATGTTGCATTTCAGCACAGTGTGTTATATTCCAGCATAGCAGGCTGAACTAATTCAATGAAGCAACCTGACGGCTGATACATGACTGAACTATCAATAGAAAGCTGTGGCTTAAAAGTAATAGTTGCATTTTATTTCCAGTGGGTTATCCTGCGCTGATACTTTACAATGTATAGCACATCACTTTGTAATCTATAGAGTGATTTCTCATACATTCCCTATTTAAAGAAACAGTCTAAACCCTTTAAAAAACATTCTAAGGATTATAAAGGAGACAAGTGTCTTAGTGTTTTGACAGCCAAGAGAACAGCTTACATAAAGCCTATTTCATTTAACGAGAAATAACTAAGCAGCTTAGAATTTGTTAGGTCTAAAGTTCCAAAATTATTGTGTTTTTCTGTCTTTGAAAATTACACAGAAATGAAAGATCAACATTACCAATTTCAAGAGGCTTAAAGAATTGAACAGTGTACTGATGACAGTACAATAGAGAAACAGACTATCAATGCTGAAATCTCTAAAATTGATAAGAATAATAAAACCATTTTACAAGAGAATGTAAGAGATGATGTACTTCATATATCCAAAATTAGCTCAAAGTATTAAAAACACACTGGAAGAAACAGTCTTATTCTGACATTAGGGGAAATGAGAACTTATCAGGAGCATCTTAAGCTTTGATTCTGTGAAAACAGCATTAATAGTCGACGACTTTAGCACTGTTTGAAAAATGTAGGTGTACACTTAGAACATAACAAATGTGAAAAACTTATGCCAATAGTAACAGCAGGGATTATAGAAGTTTGGAATTAAAGCTACTCTGCTTAGATCTACCTACTGTTTGCAATTGGTTTTAAACTTATAAACTGCAGAAAATAAATAAAACCATTTCCTCAAAAGTAATTGACACATAGCCTACTGGAACTGTTACGAAAGTCTTAAGAGCCTACAATATTTTGCACGTATCTTTACTAACGCTTCTTCCAGAAACGGGCATTACAATACCTTTTAACTTCTGACCTGATTTGTAGCTATGTATTTACTCGCATATATCTCCTAATGCCAAATAATTAACTGACCAAAGAATGAGTAAAACAGTTTAAGATTTTGCTTCCACTGAAGCTGGATCATGCCTTTCTAGAAAAAGGACATGGCCTTAGAAATTAAATGCTTCCTATCGTTTCTTCTTCCTCTAAGTTCACCCACACTTGGTACCCTTTGCTCTACTACTTCGCAGCACGTTATTTGTACCTTCAAATATTTACCACTACTAAGAGAAATGGCTGCTTTTCATAATGGCCACAGTATTTTCTGTAATTTCTAGAAATGGTTACTTAAACCAACTATCTCCATATATCCAAGGTAATTGCAACTATTCCGAAGTCCACCTCTGATGCAAATAAAAGGGAAACATGACCCAAAAGCAACGTATTCACAATAGGTCTTTAACATCAGTTACTATCCTTTCCTTAGCACAGAACATTCACAATTGAGTATTTACCAAAAAACAGACCAACTAATTTTAACAGTGTTGGTACATGAAGCATTAACATTTTGTTTTATTTATGCCATTGTTGCAGTCTTAGATGGTTTTTGATTGCATTAACAAAGCAAAAATCCTTGTCTGATACTGTGACTAACAATAGAAATCTGCAGAAATGAAGATGTGTCTATATAAGTTTCAATAAAGTGACTAAATTGACAATGGCTTCATTTTTCTAAATGCACGTGTACTATGTTACCACCTTACAGCCCTATCACTGAAACAAAATTAC